GAATTGATTCGACAAGTTTATGGGGATAATTGTTTATCTGGTGCACAGATTTTCAGGTGGTATTCACGATTCAAAAGTGATGTAGAAATGATTACTAATGCAACCAGACCTAAACGCCCAATTTCGTTTTGTAATGATTATCTCATTGCAAAAGTCACAGAACGTGTACAAAAAACATATTTTTTTTTTTTTTTTAAACTGTCAGGATAATGGCGGATGAATCGGGTGTTAATAGAGAGACCGTTTGTAAAAGTTTAGTGCAAGATTTTGGCATGAAAAAAGTTGCTTGCAGGTTTATACCGCATTCGTTGTCTGATGACCAAAAACATCAGAAGGTTGAGTACCCACGAGACATCGTCAAAGAAGAAATGTTTTGCCCCAAAAACAAGTGTGTGTTCTCAACCATCCACCCTATTCCCCATATTTGTCTCCCTGTGATTATTTTCTATTCCTAAATTTAATGTTGCAATTGAAAGGACGCTTCTTTGACGATTGTTAGGACATCCAAAAGGCCTTAACAACGACTTTAAGGGCCAAAGCAACAGAATAACTACAGAGTTTGTTCCAGTATTCGTTAGATCGTGTTACTCACTGTATCAATGCACAAGGGATCTGCTTTGAATAAAATACAAATTATTTCTTCAACTGTTGATTATTTTAAATTTTATGGAATTAGTCTCATTACTTAATTATCGGACCTTGTAAAATTACTTTTAAAGTAAATAAATGTATAATTTCAATTTAGTCTCATTCAAGGTATATAAAAAAACCAGACATATATTTACAGCAAACTGTCAGCATGCTTACAGGCAACTTAGTATGGGTAACTAAAAAACATAAAATAGCATTTTCATATGAGTTTTTTTTTTTCACGTGGTCATTCTCTGCGATAGCATTCAGTGAGTTTGGTATTTTCCATTTTATAAGGGACAGGCTATCAAAAACACCATCCACTGCTGCACATGTTAACTGATTTCCAAACAATCCTCACGTGTGTCAGTTACTGTATATTTCATGTTTGGGGGTGTACACCAATTATTAGTCAAACGAAGATCAAAGAAATGCGCGTAGTTAAGAAAACGTCAGCACCTATGCCATTGTGAATGATAACATTATTAAAACAATGGAGATCTGAGAAAACATTAAAAATTTGGGGCAACACCTCTGGAACGCACTATATCTATATAGTTCTATTTCTCAATAACTCTCCTTTGTTCTATCACTATAGATCTACTGCTCGTTTTTTCACCCATTTTCTCATTTTATTTAACTTCATTCTCTCTCTGTCAATCTCTTTCTCGCTGTCTCATCCCCTCTTTCTACTCTCTCTCTCTCTCTCTCTCTCTCTCTCTCTCCTCTCTCTCTCTCTCTCTCTCTCTCTCATTTATTCTTTGTGTCTCATTTTCTCCTTTGTTTCACTCTTTCGCTTCTGTCATAAATTCTCTCACTATCATTATTATTCTCTCTCCTTTCCTGACCCCCCCCCCCCCTCTGCATTCCACTCCAGCGACGTGTTATCTTAAGTAGACGCACACATACATACAGACTCATGTGTGCACACACACGCACACTCACACGATTCCAAATTTATTTATTTGAATTCAGTAACACAAATTTCTTCTTTGTTTTTCCAATGTAATTAAGATAAATATATTTGTGTTGCGCTGGTCCTTACAGAACTCGGGGTTTCATGACGCACGTAAGCAAACAGATATTGATTTTTCACATCACTTCTTGCTCGGTGCCTGTGACTTCCTCTTGTGACACATCTACCAGTGATTGCACATTGTTTTATCTCCGCCCTTCTTGTTGTTACCAAAGCCCAGTTTGTCATATTTATTATTCAGTCCTGGTTACACCCTCCTCAGAAAGAGCAGGTAAGCAGCGGTTTTACTTACTCAATTATGAGTTGAATAGCATTTAAATAAGCAGGATTTGTCTGGTAAAAATTATAACATTTATTGTAACTACTTGTTCATTTATCAAATAGGTTGGGTTTGTGAGCTATAATTTTATTCAAACGAACAATCGATTTAAAAGGGTTACAAATCGGGCACGCAAGGTCTTAATTTTCTGCCCTAGCAAACACTAAGTTTTCGGATAACAAAGTTTATTGTATCTGTAGAGCATGTTATGTTTATATTATTACGTTTCTATAGTTAAAAATTCTTTAAAGAAAAACATTTCCTCAGCTGTTAAAAATATTTTTTGAAACGTTCGTTATTATCTGTGAGTTTTCCCATTCTCCGAGCTGCCTGCTGGCATTTTATACTGATTCTTTGATTCATTTTTCATTACATTTCTCATGATATCAACTCACTCAATACTAAACATATGCGGCGTCCGTGGCGTACGTGTTACGAGTCTGACTCGTAATCCACTGCTGGCTGCGTGGATTTTTATCGGGGTATGGGGCGTCTAAGGTCGACCCAGCCTAAAATGGGTACCAGGATGGGCTGTCCTGTGAAAGTAAAGACGGCCGGTGTAATGCTGACCACATTACCCATCCAGGGTCGATTGGTCTGTAAAGATATGGGACGCTCTTCCCATTTACCTGATGCGCCTAAGGCGTGAAATGGGATCTTTACTTACTTACTTTTTACAACACCAAACATAACACGACTAAACGTCAGCTGTTTCAGTCACAGTAGCTTTTCGTTAGCTTGAGAACCAGCTGCATATACCTGTTGCAATTGTGAGAGACTCATACGGCATGCTAAGAAAGATGGAGAAAGGCACGATTCGTTCTGATGACAAGCATTGCTTTAAATTTAGTTATCGTCTTTTGCATATTCTCTCCAGTATATACAACGGTGTTGGGAAATCAATGGCCAGATAGATTGGCTGGTGCTGCACTGTTTGTTAACTTGATGCTTGACAAGCCAGATGTAGTAAAACCTCCTTAGAACCAAGTGAACGGCGTGGACAGAACCGTGAAACTTGTAGTGACCAGGCGATCCGGTTGACACTCCACATTCTGAGGAGAAGCGAGATGGACACACAATAATTCGATTACTTGTGTGTAACTCTTCGCTGTATCTTTAGGATTATGAGGGAGTGGGTATGGTAATGTCCCGAGTGTTGTGATGCTTATTCTTGATTACTCAACTCAGACCCCATCTTTCCTCCCAAATTTGCTAGAAGACTTGGCTACCCCTACATCATCTATAGAAGTCCCCGTGTGGGTTCCTGGACCCCATTGTGGGGGAGACAATAGACCCAATGCCTCCCCAACAAGCGTGTCGTGAAAGTCGATTATCTGGGAGGGGGGGGGGGGAATTTATCTTCGAAATCGGAGTATATCTGCACGAGAATCAAAGAACAATTAGCACGAATAAGCCAGTAAAACGGATGTGAACGCAAAACTGAGGCCCTGCCATGAAGCCAAATTCCAAACGGACGAAAAACCAGGAATTTCCACCGGTGCTTAAAGCCGGTGAACGAAGAAGAAGAAGAAGAAGAAGAAGAAGAAGAAGAAGAAGAAGAAGAAGAAGAAGAAGAAGAAGAAGAAGAAGAAGAAGAAGAAGAAGAAGAAGAAGAAGAAGAAGAAGAAGAAGAAGAAGAAGAAGAAGAAGAAGAAGAAGAAGAAGAAAAAGAAGAAGAAGAAGAAGAAGCAGAAGAAGAAGAAGAAGAAGAAGAAGAAGAAGAAGAAGAAGAAGAAGAAGAAGAAGAAGAAGAAGAAGAAGAAGATGTATATAAGTTTTTTTTTTCCAAATAAGTAAATTCTTAAAAAAGAAAAAAAAAAACTCATGCCTGCACACGTATTTGGTTTATACGGCTCGACCTATTTTTATAGACCAATTGGCGCTCGAAGGGTGATGTGGTCAGCACCTCACGGCTGCCTTTATTTCTTATGACTTTCCCTGGTACCCATGTAAGGCTGAGTCGACCTGCAAACCAAGGTCATTTTGGAAAAAGAATGTTAGGTACCGTCCGGACCCGAAATTTTCCGATCCACAGACCTTTTTTCTTTATAGTATCGTATAATTGTTTATGGCATCATATCACTGTTTACAGTACTATTTCATTGTTTATGGTATCATATCATTGTTTATGGCATTGTATTATTTATATATTATATTTTTGCCAAGTACGCATTTTTATTATTAATTTTTTTCAACCACTTAAACAATGGCCCACAACCTAAACAAACGTGACAAAGTGATGAGCAACCGCACCACCTACCGCAACACACACACACGCGCGCGCGCGCGCACAGGCACACACAATGTACTCTTTATACTGGTGCCATTACTGTAATGTTATTTCGGCCTTTCTTTTGAGATTTTATTTTTGTCAAAAAGAATTGCTGCCGCAACGCTCTCTACTTTTGCATCTGTAATAATTTGCAGTTCGTTTTTCTGTTTCTTCTTCTTCTTCTTCTTCTTCTTCTTCTTCTTCTTCTTCTTCTTCTTCTTCTTCTTCTTCTTCTTCTTCTTCTTCTTCTTCTTCTTCTTCTTCTTCTTATTATTATTATTATTATTATTATTATTATTATTATTATTATTATTATTATTATTCACGCTCACCAGCTGCACCCTCTGGGGAAAGTCCTGCTTGCACTTCTATTTCTGGCTGTTAGTCTTGTGCCAGAACGTGCATATCCATTTCACAGATATGCTCTTGTTTGTATGCAGACTATTAGTCTTTCACCTCTCGGGCATATGCACTCCAGCCTCGCTACAAATTAGTTTTTTTTTTTTTTTTTACGCGCCTGTACGCGAGCCAGTTAGTCAGTATCCCCCCCCCCCCCAACCTTTTTCCCCCCTTTTTTTAATCCCTCCTTTCCAATGGAGCGCCGAAACATACACGAGGAATCGTATTTCATGGTGTGTGTGTGTGTGTTTTTTTTTTTAATCTTTACATTTTTGCCACTTTACATCCATTTGCTTAATTGTTTCTACTGTTTTAATGACACTGAATAAAACTGTACACTGACAATCTTTGTGTGTAAGTCATCTTTACAGGACAGTGCGTCAGAGAAGAAGGATCGAGTCAAGATGGAGGAGTTAGAATTCCACGACAGCGTTGACAGCAAGAGGCACGTGACTGTACACTGGTTTAGGCATGGCTTGCGTCTCCATGACAACCCAGCTCTGCTTGCAGGTCTTAGGGGATGCCGGGAGTTCTATGCCGTGTTTATATTTGATGGCGCTGTGGCAGGTATCAGGGCGTTGGTTGTTAGTAGTTTTTCAGTTTAATTATTTTCACACCAACTGTCTACAACACACATACACACACACATATCAAATTCAATTCAAATTCTCTTTCGTTGACCACTTTCAGCTAGGTCCGCTCACATATCATATACATATATATTTATATAGGCTTACCCCTTCCTATTTTGTTCATTAGAGCCGCCGTGGTGCAGCGACTAGACGCTTGCCTGCGGGTTGGAAGGTAGCGGGTTTAGGCTGCACTGTTTTCACAAATGGTTGTATCTTCCAGGTCGACCCAGCCTTGAATGGATAAGAGGTAAAGCAATAAGAAGTAAAGGCGGCAGGTGTGAAACTGAGCACATGACCCACCATTGCCGATTGGTCTATGTATAGCCCTATATGACAAGTACACTGGATAGTTTCGTCACCCAGCTTCTGAGTTGAGTGCATGGTGTGACACTGTGAGCTACGAGTGTTTTTCGTTGGCACAGGAGCGGAGCAACAATGGGGTGACCCGTTTGCTATGATGCTGAAACTAGGATTACCAGATTACCAGATTACACTGGAAAGTATTTGGGTGCTATCGATAAAAGGACAGTTTTGTTTACGTTAAATTTAATTTACATTGAGTTCCATGTATACTTTGATCTGACGACTGATCTGTTTAGAATAACTTTTTGTGTGTATTAAATCTTCATAAAATTGACTGCATGTGAAATGTTTGGAATACAATTTACAGCTGAAAGTGACTTGAATAAATCCAAACTAAGGCGATTTATATTACTGGACATTGATTAAAGTAAATAGTCTTTCTACCATTGTGTGCCGATTTGCGAAATAGCAATGAAAAACTGCTATATTCACTATTTCAGAGTATATGTCACTACTCCTACAATTTTCAGCATAGTCACACAGTATAAATTGTGTCCTACCTTGTAAAATTGCGGACAAATCTACGAATTTGAACAAAGAAGAAACAAACAATAGACTGCACAATTTATTGCCTGGCATATTTCGCTGTATCTCATCAGGTGCATACTACAGTAACAATTAATTAAAATGAAGCAAATAGCTGAAAGAAACCTTGGTGAAACAGTTTGAAATCTACTCGAATTTGTGTTTCAGTTTCTAGGATTCAGCTATTTGCTTCATTTTAATTAATTGTTACTGTAGTATGCACCTGACGAGATACAGCGAAATATGCCAGGCAATAAATTGTGCAGTCTATTGTTTGTGTCTTCTTTGTTCAAATTTACATCAGGAAAACATTGCTTTGATTATTTGAAATCTACGAACGTCCAAAAATGTTTGCAGACGCTCAGATTTGCTCGTCAAAGGAAGACTTGTACGCAAAACTGAGAACATATGGCAGCCATATACACACACGCGCGCATTTATATAAACATTTACATATATATATATATATATATATATATATATATATATATATATATATATATATATATACATTTACACACACACACACACACACCTCATCGTCATGTCTAAATATGAAACTATGTAACTATCTACGAACCTATTTGCCAACCTCCATAAAAGCCTAAGTATCTAATTTACTTGCTCCTTATCGATCTATCTACTTTATAGCACGTCTGATCTTTACGTCTGCATTTTAGTATGCCTGCCTGCCTATTTTTCTGTCGATCTGTTTGTTTGTATGTACTGGCGTATTTAAAATCCACAAAGAGAAGTGAATTTGTTAATACGGCCATTTCAAGGGTTTTAAGCGCCTACCATTTAGTAGCTTTGGCAACCTACTGAAAGTTAACATCCTTAGTAAGACCATAGACAGTCTCACAGACACACATAAACACACACGCACACTCAAACAAACGCTGGATTAATTCATTGTAAACGCCCTGTAGTGGATAGGCAACTATCACATTATCGTTTACCCTTAATGTAAACGGTTGAACATTAAAACGTTCTTTCAATGAATCTGTGTTTAACATATAGTCTAGTAGAGAAACCCGAATAGAGGAAAGCTGGCCGATGTTTACCGTTGACCTGAAAGGCAATACTAATCATTGGGCAAGGAAGAACATTAACACTGTTTTCAGATGGAATAGGATCACGTGATATCACACTAACCACCAACACACCAGGATGTCTGCCTCTTAAACGACCACTCTGGAACTGTTAACAGACTGGAACGGTCAGAGTCTGCCTTGAAAACAGCACGACCAGTCTGAAACTCTCGACTCGAACGGTCGGAGTGTGCCTCGTAAACAACACGATCAGTCAAGATCTGTCAACAGACTCGAACGGTGGGAGTGTGCCTCGTGAACAACACGATCAGTCTAGAACTGTCAACAGATTCGAACGGTCGGAGTGTGCCTCGTGAACAACACGATCAGTCAAGATCTGTCAACAGACTCGAACGGTGGGAGTGTGCCTCGTGAACAACACGATCAGTCTAGAACTGTCAACAGACTCGAACGGTCGGAGTGTGCCTCGCAAACAACACGATCAGTCTAGAACTGTCAACAGACTCTAACGGTCGGAGTGTGCCTCGTAAACAACACGATCAGTCAAGATCTGTCAACAGACTCGAACGGTGGGAGTGTGCCTCGTGAACAACACGATCAGTCTAGAACTGTCAACAGACTCGAACGGTCGGAGTGTGCCTCGTGAACAACACGATCAGTCTAGAACTGTCAACAGACTCTATCGGTCGGAGTGTGCCTCGCAAACAACACGATCAGTCTAGAACTGTCAACAGACTCGAGCTGTGGGAGTTTGCTCGTAAAAAGCAAGCCCACTCTGGAACTGTCAACATACTGGAAGGTCAGGGATACTGGGGTTGAGACCCGAGTACTGAGCGCCTATGGACAGTTTCATGTATAGCGAAGATGATTCGACGTCTCACAAGCTTGCTATCTAGTAAGTCAACTTACAGTCGGTCTAATTGGCTTGCTGATTAACTAACTAAATACCTAAGGACCTAACTAAATATCAGACTTGCACATTAGTGAGCCAGTGATCTACCTAACTGACTAATCACTAACTAATTATTAAGCTACATACTAAACTGGCCAGATAGCTAACTGATCAACCAAGTAATTAGTTAACCAGCCAACTGAACAGGTAATTAACGCAGAAGTCCTCGTATTAGATTGTCCGGCTATTGGAATCATGTAGTAAAAGTAAAAAAAAAAAAAAAAAACACAGAAGGAGATAGAAATAAAAGTTGAAAAAAAAGAAAGAAAAAAAATAATGGCCTTCAATATTTTCAATGACATAAATATAAACAAATGTTAAAATTTAGATAGAAGAACGGCACATGGGAAATGAAAACTGCTAAACTGTTATTTATAATCACCTTACTGTAAGCTAGATTATAGAGAAATTTGGTTGCCCACACAAGTTCATCCAGATAGTGCGTCAGTTTCATGTTGACATGCAAACAAGAGTGCAGGATAACGGCGAACTGTCAGAGTCCTTTCCTTTCACAAACGGAGTCAAACAGGGCTGCGTGCTGGCACCGTCACTGTTTAGTCTGTTACTTTCAGCCATGCTGACTGATGCCTTTGTAAATGATCACACTGGAATCGACATAAATTACCGCATGGATGGAAAGCTGTTCAACCTCAGGAGGCTGAAAGCAAAAAGAAAACCAAATCAGACACCATCAGGGAGCTCCTGTTTGCCGACGATTGTGCCCTTTATACCAAAACAGAAGCGGATATGCAGCACAACATCGACACATTCAGTGATGCCTGTACAAACTTTGGGCTCACCATCAACAAAGATAAAACTTTAGCCATGCATTAGCCAGCCCTAGGGCACATAAACATCGAGCCCCATATCACAGTGAATGGCCACAGATTGAATGTTGTCACGAAATTTATTTATCTAGGCAGCACCCTTTCACAGAGCGCCACAACTGATGAAGTAAATGCGAGGGGTAGCGTTGCCTTGGGCAAATTGTACAAAATTGTTTGGAACAGAAGTTGCATAACCCTGTAGACAAAGCTTAAAGTATAGTGAGCAGTTGTATTAACTACACTGCTGTACGCGTGCGAAACATGGACTGTATACCAGCGCCAGGCTAGAAAGTTAAACCACTTTCACACAGTCTGCCTTAGAAAACTAATACAGCATCCACACTCTACACACAAAAAAGCGTTTCTATGATGAGCTGCAAAATGGGAAACGTTCCTAGGGCAGGCAAAAGAAACGCTTTAAGTTCACTTTGAATTCTTCACTCAAATCATTTGGGATAAATGACACCAATTGCTAGGCTGCCTCTCAAGACCGAAATGCATGGCATGCAGCTACACAAGGGCGCGGCTACATGGGAAGCAAACACAAGGGCGCGGCTACATGTGAAGCAAACACAAGGGCGCGGCTACATGTGAAGCAAACACAAGGGCGCGGCTACATGGGAAGCAAACACAAGGGCGCGGCTACATGTGAAGCAAACACAAGGGCGCGGCTACATGTGAAGCAAGCACAAGGGCACGGCTACATGTGAAGCAAACACAAGGGCACGGCTACATGTGAAGCAAACACAAGGGCACGGCTACATGTGAAGCAAACACAAGGGCGCGGCTACATGTGAAGCAAACACAAGGGCGCGGCTACATGTGAAGCAAGCACAAGGGCACGGCTACATGTGAAGCAAACACAAGGGCACGGCTACATGTGAAGCAAACACAAGGGCGCGGCTACATGTGAAGCAAACACACGGGCGCGGCTACATGTGAAGCAAACACAAGGGCGCGGCTACATGTGAAGCAAACACAAGGGCACGGCTACATGTGAAGCAAACACAAGGGCACGGCTACATGTGAAGCAAACACAAGGGCACGGCTACATGTGAAGCAAACACAAGGGCACGGCTACATGTGAAGCAAACACAAGGGCACGGCTACATGTGAAGCAAACACAAGGGCGCGGCTACATGTGAAGCAAACACAAGGGCGCGGCTACATGTGAAGCAAACACAAGGGCGCGGCTACATGTGAAGCAAACACAAGGGCGCGGCTACATGTGAAGCAAACACAAGGGCACGGCTACATGTGAAGCAAACACAAGGGCGCGGCTACATGTGAAGCAAACACAAGGGCACGGCTACATGTGAAGCAAACACAAGGGCACGGCTACATGTGAAGCAAACACAAGGGCGCGGCTACATGTGAAGCAAACACAAGGGCACGGCTACATGTGAAGCAAACACAAGGGCGCGGCTACATGTGAAGCAAACACAAGGGCGCGGCTACATGTGAAGCAAACAGAAGGGCGCGGCTACATGTGAAGCAAACACAAGGGCACGGCTACATGTGAAGCAAACACAAGGGCGCGGCTACATGTGAAGCAAACACAAGGGCGCGGCTACATGTGAAGCAAACACAAGGGCGCGGCTACATGTGAAGCAAACACAAGGGCACGGCTACATGTGAAGCAAACACAAGGGCACGGCTACATGTGAAGCAAACACAAGGGCGCGGCTACATGTGAAGCAAGCACAAGGGCACGGCTACATGTGAAGCAAACACAAGGGCGCGGCTACATGTGAAGCAAACACAAGGGCGCGGCTACATGTGAAGCAAACACAAGGGCGCGGCTACATGTGAAGCAAACACAAGGGCGCGGCTACATGTGAAGCAAACACAAGGGCGCGGCTACATGTGAAGCAAACACAAGGGCACGGCTACATGTGAAGCAAACACAAGGGCACGGCTACATGTGAAGCAAACACAAGGGCACGGCTACATGGGAAGCAAACACAAGGGCACGGCTACATGTGAAGCAAACACAAGGGCACGGCTACATGTAAAGCAAACACAAGGGCACGGCTACATGTGAAGCAAACACAAGGGCACGGCTACATGTGAAGCAAACACAAGGGCACGGCTACATGTGAAGCAAACACAAGGGCGCGGCTACATGTGAAGCAAACACAAGGGCGCGGCTACATGTGAAGCAAACACAAGGGCGCGGCTACATGTGAAGCAAACACAAGGGCGCGGCTACATGTGAAGCAAACACAAGGGCGCGGCTACATGTGAAGCAAACACAAGGGCGCGGCTACATGTGAAGCAAACATAAGGGCGCGGCTACATGTGAAGCAAACACAAGGGCGCGGCTACATGTGAAGCAAACACAAGGGCGCGGCTACATGTGAAGCAAACACAAGGGCACGGCTACATGTGAAGCAAACACAAGGGCACGGCTACATGGGAAGCAAACACAAGGGCGCGGCTACATGTGAAGCAAACACAAGGGCGCGGCTACATGTGAAGCAAACACAAGGGCACGGCTACATGTGAAGCAAACACAAGGGCACGGCTACATGTGAAGCAAACACAAGGGCACGGCTACATGTGAAGCAAACACAAGGGCACGGCTACATGTGAAGCAAACACAAGGGCACGGCTACATGTGAAGCAAACACAAGGGCACGGCTACATGTGAAGCAAACACAAGGGCACGGCTACATGTGAAGCAAACACAAGGGCACGGCTACATGTGAAGCAAACAGAACAGCAAGACTCATACTCATAGTTGATGAAAAAAAGAATGGTAATCATCATCTTGATAGACAACACACGCACTGTAAGCTAGAGAAACAAACAATAAATTGAGTATAAATTCACAGTGAGAAAGAAGGGACATTTGGTGGAAACAAGAGCATTGTAAAGCTGAATAGACATTTGTTGCAAACAAAACAGAGTAAAGCTATCCTAGAGAAGAAAAAAGAGGGCTATTTACACACACACACTCACACATTGAAGAGAGAAGCGATTTACGTTTGCTAGTTTTGAACATAACTTTAAAAAAAAAATACTATTGAAGAAAGTTGACAGCCAGCTAACAACAGGCAGATAGCAATTTAGTTGGGTTGGTAACAGTGACTGATGGATAAACAGCAGTCTGCAAATGTAAATCTAGCCCGAGAGACAGAACGGTGAACTTCCGTTAAGGCCAACAATGACACTGAAGGCGGCACCTCATTGTTTATATAGAACTACCAGTCAGAAAAGGAAAACTTTTCCCTGTCGTAGCATGAGGTTGGACAAATGATCAGAACCTAAACAAAGCTGTAACCTGGATCCAAACCCAGACACTGATTTCAGTACTTTTGGCAAAGTAAGGTACTCAAAATTTCAAAGAGTAGGTGCGAACTAACTTGGTTTTCTGCGAGAGACGCTGGCCAAAATAGAGATCATAAAGAGGACGAAACACTGTTAGAACCACAAAAGAGGACACAGGGGCAAAACCATTGATGAGACATCGGAACAGAAAAAGAACCCACGAGGTAAAACCATCGGGAAACAAAGGACACGAGGAACACAGTGGAGCACAGACAGGAAGGAGCGGTCTGTCTATTTGGTTAGAAACAAAGCCAGCAAGCTGGAGAAAGTCGCACTCTTAGCCATGCAAGTGGCACATAAAAACCAGACCATAAATATAACCAAAGACATTTTTGCAGCCTTGCTACCAACAGCTGGTTGATCGTAGTTTTTTTTTTTTTTTTAAGAATGGAACTGGAATTTGAATTAGGACGCTGGATTATTAGCAGCATTAAAAAAAAAAAAAAATCCCCCCCCCCCCCCTCATTTCATTCTCTTAGTTCGCGCCATTGTCCCAATCGATCACTCACACGTATTTCTATGCGAGACACCGTAGCTGTGTTTAAGGACCAGATTCAAATCTGCACTTATAAAACTGGTCAACGACGGTTTTCTGCTCTTGCCAGGGATCTCCACAGCAGCATTTCCCAGGATGCAGTTCCTCATGGAGACTCTACAAGACCTTGATGAGAACTTAAAAACCTGCGGATCTCGTCTGCATGTTTTCCGTGGCAATCCGGTGGAGGTCTTTGGCAAACTCATCGAGGTAACAGATGGTCAGGGAGCACTGATATGTTTCAGAAACACAAAACATTTAGCAAAATAATTATTATTAATCTATTCTCAGTTGCACACAACACACAGTGTGTTCAATGATAATTTTGAGCATGGAGAGTTTATCTGTATTCCATTTCCGGTCTAGTTCTAAATTAGCAAGCTCTGTCATAATTGTGAATGTAACTTCTGTTCAGTGATGTTATATTTCATAAACTCACTTACACTCAAGACATATTAGTTTGAAACAATAGCCCATAATTAGAAAAGACCCACGGATTAAATCTTTTTTCATGTCTGCCACGCATCTCATATATTTTAATGAGCATATAAAAATATAAAAATAAAAACAGTAATGTGTTAGAATCGCGAAAAAAAGAGGGTTGGCGACTTTTGTTTTATGCCTAAATGATATCATGGTTTTCTTAAATTTGTTCAGCGGACTACCAGTGTTGGTGCCGTTGGTTTAAAGTCACAAACACAAGGATAAAACACATATATGTAAAATATCTTTGAAAGCTTTGAAGTCCAAATTTGGCAGACGATTCTCATAACCGCTGTCATGTTGCGTGGAGCCGATGGTTGGATATTTGTGACATTTTTGAAACTCTGCCAAGTAGAACTCCCAAATCTGGTGTGCTGGAAACAGACACTGAACTCTTGCCTATTGGAGTCTTGTTCTCAATTTATTCCTATGGCGGCTTCGGGTGTCGAGGGAGATGGCAAAAGTGTCTATTTCTTGCTCTTTTGGCGTCGACCATAGAGACACCTTACAGTTGCATCATCATCGGTCAGCAGATCCTTTTCAGAATATCGCTCATTTCACCGCACGTATGCAATTCTATCTTTTTTTCTAGCCAATTATCCAGCTCTATGTGCTTTCATAACCAATGCATCATTAGTGCTTGCAAAGATTTTGCGGAGGCCGTCATCTGCATCGTTTTCTGGAAACAAACGTTTAACATTGGCATAATACCTCAGCTTTAGATATAGGACCGGGTGCAGTCCTGGGAAGTCGAGGCGGCCGGCGTGATGCTGACCACATCACCCATCTTGTGCCGATTGGTCTATAAAATATAGGTCTAGCCCTATACGCCTGAATGTGTGGAAAAGGGTCCTTTACTTTACTTAGGTACAGGATGTTGTTTATGAGCCAGTTTTCGTGGATGTTCACATCTTGTAGGGTGGATTTCTTCTTCTTGGTCCACGGTTTTCTAATATTGTCATTTGTGTAGAATCGTTTTTTTTTTCTTTACGTAATCGTTTCCTGTTGATCTCGGTTCACTTTAAGCACAGCCTTCTTCTTGTGTTTTTGAATGTCTCGTATGGTATGGCGGCATTGATCATTTACTCTAAGCGATCAGTCAACTTCATTTGATATCTTTGTATTTAGTTTAGTGCTAATTCTTTGCCTGCTTGTGTTTCTTATGACTGTATTGCTGATTTTACTCTCTTTTGGTCAGTCATGTAATCTTTCTCAAAAATCTTTTTTTCCGTGGTTATTAATTTTTTTGCTGTTGTGAGTGACCATTTATGGCACTAACAGAAGAGGGTTGGGATATGTTTGATATGTGAAATTTCTTTGTTCTGATTCAGACTGTCTCTTTTATAATAATACTTTAAAAAAAATTTCTAAATGCAAAGGCTATTTCCAAAGTTTTAATTCCAATGCGTATATGGTGCTGAGCTAGAAATTTATTTATCCAAACGGCACTTTAAAGATTATATGGTCAATATATATATCGACAACCTTTGCACCCTATAACCCTTTAATGATACCAGTTTTACCTGGAGTATCTTGTGAGCCGGCACAATTGTCAATAATCTATCAGGATGAGGGTGTGACCCTGTGGCAACATGTAACATTGCAATGATGCTAGCCACTGCAGTTCACCAGCCTCTAAGATAGATGTACAGGTGAAAGAAACATCAGTACATGCTCTTGGAAGAAAAAAACAACCGAGTGGAAGTGAACATAAGATAAAGTCACTCCTACGGATTTTGTTTTTCTTAAGTATCCAGAAACCATGAGTTGTTAACCCTTGGGCTCGGTACTATGGATATCGCAACCATTCGGCCTTGATTCCATGATAGGTACCGTAAATCTGGGAGAAATATGGCTTTTCTGCCTACCCCCGGGCGTGAACCCGGACTACAAGGAGATCGTCACCCGGTCACCGCGAAAGTCCGGTTTAACTAACTGCGCTAGCGAGCCGGGCACTTCTACGGATACATTGTTTTCTATTGTAATCAGTTGTTAATTTTATTGTAAGTGATCATAGGTATTTAATCTTTTCCACATTTAAAAAAAAAAAACATTAGGCCTTTACAAAAGAATAAATAACGCTGAGCACTTTAACGAGTTTGCAAAGAGTGGGTGTGGCTTACTTACAAGCCTAATTTTTTTTTTTTTTCACAGTTTACCATATATTTATGTCAGCAAGGATAATTAACACAGCATAATGAGGAACGGCTGCAAAAAACGGGATATATTTCATGAAATTTAATTAGTGTGTTTTCCCTATTTACACGTCGCTAATAGGAACTGTTTTTACAAAAGAATAAATTAGTTGGACATTGATTCAGCTCGCACTATTGCAGGAATGGGGAGTAACCCGTGTATCACTGGAACAAGACCCAGAACCTATCTGGCAGAAACGCGACAGTGATGTCAAGGCCCTTTGCTCTAAGCGAGAAGTAGAGTGGATTGAGAGAGTTAGCCATACTCTGTGGGATCCGCAGTTGTAAGTACCCAGCTCACTACACTATTAGATCCTATAAACGTATATGATCTTTTGGTTGTAAACTCCCCACCCACCCACCCACCCACCCACCAACCCACCCACACACACACAGGTGTTGCGAGAATATGTCTTTGAATACGAAAACTCTCCGTGTGGCTTCCAGGGCCCCATTTTAGAAAGAAAAAAAAAACAGAATAGACCCACTGCCCATCAGCAAGCATGTCGTGAAAGTGAGGGGTGGTTCTGGAGTGCATTTGCCTGAGAGGCAAGGAGCCAACAGTCTGCTTGCAAATAAGCGAGATCTGTGAAACGTATATATACGCAACACTCAAGTCATGGAATAAAGCCAAAGTCCAAAAATTGACTGAACAAGCATAACTTTCCGCCTTACAGCCCATACTTCTTCTTCTTCTTCTTCTTCTTCTTCTTCTTCTTCTTCTTCTTCTTCTTCTTCTTCTTCTTCTTCTTCTTCTTCTTCTTCTTCTTCTTCTTCTTCTTCTTCTTCTTCTCTTCTTCTTTTTCTTCTGTCTTTATTTCTTCTTCTTCTTCTTCTTCTTCTTCTTCTTCTTCTTCTTCTTCTTCTTCTTCTTCTTCTTCTTCTTCTTCTTCTTCTTCTTCTTCTTCTTCTTCTTCTTCTTCTTTTTCTTCTTCTTCATTATTCATAATAAGCATATTATTATATGAACATAACATGCTGTATTGAATAAATACAACCGCTGTGTGAAAGATGAGAGTTTAAAAGGGCCGAATGTAAGAGAGGCCTGAGTGCCTAATTTATGACCTTTTGAAAATACAGTTCGTTCGTTCGTTCGTTCGTTTGTTTGTATATAATTCTTTGTTAGATATCAACTCTCTCCCCCCTCCCTCCCATTTTCACACAGACAGACAGACACAGACAAACACATACACACATTGCTATAGGTATCTGCAAGTGTATGTACACACTTCAGTTGCTTTAAAAAAATTATTACAAGTATCATAGACATATCAACAGTAATAATAATTGCATATTGTTCTATATTTTCTAGAATTATACAAGAAAATGGAGGCAGTCCGCCTCTGACGTACGCCATGTTCTGCCAGGTGATGGAGATTGTGGGCCAGCCGCCTGTGCCAGTAAGGAACCCCGATTTCAGTGGCGTGTCCCTGCCCGTCAGTGACAACCATGACCAGAAGTATGGCCTACCACCGCTTGATGCTCTAGGTGAGTTATGTATATATTTTAACTTGAGACGTGGAAAGAGTTTTATATATATGTTTTTGATGGAGTTATAAAAGTGTAAATAAAAGATTCCCATTATTCAACAATATATTTTCAGTGCCCATCCCTCTTATTTTCTCTGTGTCTATCACTCGCTATGTATGTATGTATGTATGTATGTATGTATGTATGTATGTATGTATGTATGTATGTATGTATGTATGTATGTATGTATGTATGTATGTATGTATGTATGTATGTATGTATGTATGTATGTATGTATGTATGTATGTATGTATGTATGTATGTATGTGTGTGTGTGCGTGCGTGCGTGCGTGCGTGCGTGCGTGCGTGCGTGCGTGCGTGCGTGCGTGCGTGCGTGCGTGCGTGCGTGCGTGCGTGCGTGCGTGCGTGCGTGCGTGCGTGTGTGTGTGTGGGTGGGTGGGGGTGGGTGGGTGTGTGTGTGTGTGTGTGCGTGCGTGTGTGTGTGCGTGTGTGTGTGTGCTTGTGTGTGTGTCTGTGTCTGTGTGTGTGTGTGTGTGTGTGTGTGTGTGTGTATGTAAATTGTACCCTACCAGGACATCACAAAAAGTGATAAACACCCGGTGACACAAAGTGCCACCATGCGGCTGAGGAGAGGTCCCGGAAACCCTGTTAGACCGTTATGCTATATGTATGGCCTAGCTATATTTAGGGCCCACGGCAAAAGCAAGGGTGGGGCTTCAAATAACGAATAATTGTATCCCACATGGGGAGGACTAAGACTTAATGTTAAATTTTTTTTTCAAATTCAAGAATAGGCTTTTTGAATTTCACTGTGTTTTTGACATACATTGTTAAACGTTCTATTCTCTTTACACTGTTCGAAAGAAGAACGCATAGACAAGTTTCGAAATCTCTATATTCTTTTACCCTACCAGGACATCACACAAGCGATAAACACCCGATGACACAAAGTGCCACCACATGGATGAGGATCCCCGTGGAGAGGTCCCAGAAACCGCTTTCAGCCATTAGACCTTATTTATGACCAGGCTATGTTGCGGCCCCTGGCAAGAGCCAGGGTGGGGCTTCAAATAACGAAAAATTGCATCTCATAAGGAGATGACTGAATACTGTTTTCACCAATTGTGAGCGGATCATAATTCACAAGACTGATCATTTTCGACACTTCTCTTTATGTTTCCTGCATTATTATAGTTTTTCTGGTCGAGTTAAGTTTACATCTTCAGCAGCCAAGTGCAACATTGCAGTTCTTATGGTAGCAATAACAGTTTGCTTATTTTCCCATGCTCTATCTTCTCAGTGTAGAGTGTCGGACAGATCTTCTGTTTACTTCTCACTGTTTCCTTTCCAATAACAATATGAAAGGGCCTTGACAAACATCTAGCTAGCTTGTCATGCATCAATTCATAGAGCGCCACCTGTCTATATGTCTTTTTGATCATTTCCTATTACACTTGCATATCCCGGAGACAAGACATATTTTAGTTTCAGGAGTCACAACCAATATTTAGTACTCTCTCTTATACAAGTGTGCATCAGTACATATGTACACATTTATTAGCTTCCGTAATTAACTGTATAGTATGTGACAATAAATATATTTGCAACCTCACAAGGTGTCAAGGCAGAATCTGACCATCAGGCTAGTCCCTACTGTCGCTACTTAGGCGGAGAAACAAAGGCTCTGAAGTTGCTGTCGTCACGACTGGAGAAGGAACGTGCAGTAAGTTCAATCAATCCATTCCCACAACCTTTCCCATGTCTACATTGTACTGCATGTTCTCAACTTGTAATAACGTACATTACTGCTTGATATTGTTTACATTTTCACCACCTTTTTAAATAAAGCATTCCCTGACTCGCAAATCATTATCATGCACTGAGTACAGACTGGTCAACTAAACAAAGGTCTAACCCGGTATGCCTAATACAAATAAAGATGTTGAAAAGGGACGTTTACCTACTTTACTTACTTGCTAATATTGATATAAGAGACATGTATTAATTAGGCATTTGGGCGTCATTTGGTTCCTCGAGATTGTAAGGAGTGTTCATCTGATGCTGATTCGTGCCTTGCCGCGTGTAATTGCGTGCGTTAAACATGGTCAAGTCATATTCATTTGATAACTATGCCAACAGAATTAAAGAGCACCTGCTTTTTGTCCCATGATGCACTGGTGCTGCTTCTGACCGCTGAGAAAATGGCCATGTTGATCCTTATCCCATCCAAAGAATCTCAGAGAGTGATAATTCAGTTTTATTTTATTTGAGGGATGTCGACCAGTGGACAGTCATCGAAGAATGCGGTGTGCGGTGGTAAAAGTGTGTTGTAGACAGCAGTGACAGATTAAGCACGAATATTTAAGTTAATGACACATCATCCATGGCCGGATCAAGCGCATGTTGTTGCAACAACAACATGAACAGAAGGGACAAAGCTGATGCAGCGATACAGGTGAACTGTGATCGACGCATACTTTCGTTAACGAAAGAATTTGATGTGTCAGTTAAGACAAGTCATAGAGAGTGATAGCTAGATATGGAGTAAGTGAAGATCTCATTGAAATTTACAAAACCTTATATACAGGTTGTAGAAGCCTAGTTAGAATAAATCAGGGAACATCTAAACCATTGAAAGTAACATCCGGAGTAAGACAGGGACGTATCTTATTACCACTCCTGTTTATCACCTACATCGACAGTATAAGCAAAGATGCCAAGCCCAAGAACGAAAATAATAGTAACATAAACTAAATACTCTTTGCTGATGACCAGGCCTTGATTGCAAATAAAGCAATTTTTTTATAACAGTATATCACATCCATGAATGAAGAATTTAAATCAAATAATTTGAGAATCAACATTGAAAAGAAAGTTGATAAGACAGAAGTAATGTCAATAGGAGGAAAGAGGCAGAATTTAAACATAGCATTATAACACTCCACATAATAAAAACTCCATAGGGAAGCACGCACAACAGGAGTCCACCGATCATCAGTAGAAGATCCCTTGTCGACAAATGATTCGCCTCATTATGTCCTAGACAATGTTAGAGAGTGGGCCGACCTGGGTCTTGATGCCAGATCTCGAACTTCTCCTGCTGTACTTTTCGGACTCTCGGACAGGACAAGACAAAATGGTGACTACGCAATTGGTACTGTGAGATTCGAAGTTAAATACATTATCGCTGCGGTAGCTATTTAGACCAGCCGGCTACCTTAATGACCAATTGACAATCTTATGGTTGGTTCATTGGTCACATGTTAGACTTTGGTATTGGCAGATGTACATTGGCAGACATCTGTTGGACACTTTGGATTTTGAAATATATTATTAAACAGGCATCTGAGTTTAAATATCGTGAAACAACGTTCACTAAAGGTGGTAAATTGGACGGAAATAGCTGACATCAGATGCAGAAAAGCAGGTCAAGTACTAGAACAGCGAGCTACCCTCTTACAGCCTAAAACAATTCAAATCAGCGCAAAGATAAATCTCATACAAAGTATATTCATTCCCATCCTATGCTGTCAGTGCCAGAAGTGGTCCCTCACAACAAAACAAAAACGAAATTAATAACCATGGAAATGCTGTGTCTGATAAAGACTGTAGGAGTGACCAGAAGAGATCAAATAAGAAATGAGGTCATGCGAGATAAAGTGGGAACAGAACCAATTTTAAATTTCAAGGGGAAAGAGTTCACTCAAATGCTTAGTACGCTGTAAGCACTTAGTTCAGTGAGCAACCACAATCCTGTTTTTACGGAAGGCCTGCTTAAGCAATCGGATGCTTGCCACAATGCCTACAACAACCTTTATTACCAACCCATCTTGAATAATTCATACATAGTAAATGTTCTGCTTTTTTCTGTCACATATGTTGATGTTTATTTCGAGATTTTATAATAACTTAATTGGAAAAGGTTTTAAATGAATGCTCATTATACAATTAAATGTTTTCTTATTATTCAAATTTGGTTCCTAATTGCATTTTGTGCAGCCAATAGCCTGGATTCAAAACCCAGCAGGTGCATAATTAACTGTTACCTCACCTTAACTTTTCTCTTGTCCATCCACCCTCTTCAAAATATGTGCCAGACAATTGACTGTCATAACTACTTTACAATTGTTTTGAAAGGAGAGATAACTAGAGGCAGATGAGCAGTAGGTGACTAGCAAAAAAACAGATGCCCGCCACATTTCATTATGTTTTAGTCTAAAATATGTAGGATCCACAGATTTGGCAAACAGCTACAGCATCGTTGAATACAGTGCGTTTCAAAAGTCGCATATTAAACACTTTGACAGATATGTCGAAAACTCCTCTGCGGATTACCACGAATTTTTTGTCTTAGATTTCTCCTGTCCTTGAGAATTTATAATTTACAATTACAGCAGAGGTACTGCGTTTGCTTAAAGAGACAATTGTTTGTTTTTAATCTTTGTTTGACTAACAATGTGTGTACCTCTGAAAAATATAATGTACAGTAATGGATACACCTGTGGAGATTGTTCTAAAATCAGTTCAGGTGTGCAGCGGTGAATAATTTGATAGCCTGTCCCGTAAAGAATCAAAAAATTTGTTCATCACGGGAGGCTAATTCCTGGAGATTACTACATGAGAGTGAGACATCTATGAAACGCGGGAAATATAAGGTTTTGAAAAGTTAATTTTACTGTAAGCATGCTGACTATTTGCCTTGAATTGCTGACTGTTTTTTTTCATACACCGCAGACAAGGAAAAATGAAAATTTGATATTTGTTAACATTTAGAAATGAAAAATTGTTTAAAAAAAAAAAAAAAAAAAAAAAACACGATTAACGACATGCCAAATTTCAACAGGTCACATGCTTTAGTGCCTGAATCAGTTTATGCATTACCTTCTGAGTTGTTGACAGATCACCGTGGCTATATGGCCAATTGTTTTGATTTATGTTTCGAAGATCACGAAGTCCATGTTCAGCTTCTCTTTTCAGTTGACGAGTGAATTTATTTAGGAAAATCCTGTACGTTTTCGCTGTAGCTACATTGTGCTTGTACGCCATCTGAGTAAAATATGAAATACAGCAATAAATAATAGAGTCAATCCTTTCCCGATTAAACGCCTTCATTAAACTCTTTGAAATTCATCTATACACACTTACGTCTAACATATATAATTCACCCATCACCAAGTCATTGGAAAACCACACAGGTTACCACGTCAGTCTGGTCCCTGAATTGTGTGTAGTTCTGTTTACGAAGAAGTTAATCTTGGCTTTGATTACCTTTTCTAGGCGTTTAGCAGAGGCCTGAGTCTTCCTAACCAGCTCTACCCAGATCTAACAGGAATGCCAATGAGCCTGTCCCCACACTTGAGATTTGGAAGCCTGTCTATCCGGAAATTATATTGGTCGTTGCGACTTGTATACACGCAGGTGAGTAGTCTGCTGTTTGCATTGTGTATTATAGCGTTTGCTAGTGTTTATTGAGTCATTACCTTGCGTATAATAGCAGAACAAAACAATGAACTGAACTCATCGCTTATAATCTTGCACCGTTAGTACTATCAAAAGGTATTTACAGCCCTTGTAGTTTGACAGGACGACAAAGGCGTTAGCAATTTGTTTGTTTAGCTGTACTTACGAGAAAAATCTTGCAAGAGGTGATAAAAGGCTGACGTACCCGAAAAAAAGGAAATCCTGCCCAGCCGTGGCAGCACCGTACAATGGCTAAAATAGCGTGGGTGCCGGCGACTGAGCGGAAACGCATAGAATTGGCTGACTGAATACGGTGGTATGTTGCTATAGTTGATTCTGAATTTGTCTCCAGCAGTTAAAATGTATCACCTACATCGACAGTATATGCAAGAATGCCAAGCCCATGAATGAAAATGTTAGTAAGATCAACGAATTACTCTTTGCAGATGACCAGGCCTTGATAGCAGATACAGCCATACAATTGCAACAACATCTAACATCCATGAATGAAGAATGTAAAAGAAATAATATGAGAATCAACACGGAAAAGACAGAAGTAATGTCAACAGGAAAAAAGAAGACAGATCTAAACATAGCAATAGAGTGCAAAGGTATTAAACAGGCATCTGAGTTTAAATATCTGGGAACTACATTTACCGAAGATGGAAAATTGGATAAAGAAATTAACATTAGATGCAGTAAAGCTAACCGAGTATTGGGATAGCTAGCTCCCCTCTTACAGCATAAGACAATCCCAATCAGCACAAAAAGACATCTTTTTCAAAGCATATTTATTCCAACTATGTGCTACCAGTGATAGACATGGTCACTCACAACAAACCATAAAAGAAAATTGGTAACCATGGAGATTAGATGTCTGAGTAGGGCTGTAGGAGTGACCATAAAAGATAAGATCAGGAATGAGATCATAAGAGAAAAAGTCGGCACAGAACCAATTCTAAATTACATACGAAGACAGCAGGTGAAATGGTTTGCCCACTTAGAGAGAATGCCTGGTGACACCATACCATACAAAGCATACATGGAAAGAGAAGAAGGACGCAGAGCACGAGGTAGACCAAGAACATTTTGGAAGGATAACATTAGAGAAACTCTAAAGCAGCACGATGTGCCTATGGTCGACGCTGCCAGAAGAGCTGGAGACAGAACCTTATATCTCCCTCGACACCCACAGCGGTAGAAGAGGAAGTGAAGAAGAAGAAGAAGAAGAAGAAGAAGTTAGAATGTGCAGAATTAGAAATCAGTGTGTATTATCGCTGGTACATATTTGTTTTCAGGTCTCTAGCGGAGAATTTCCACTGTTGTTAGTTGTAGTACTTAGCACATGTCGATGTGAACAGGTGGACAGTTGTTAATGTAGTATATTATCTAAGAAGTGCCTAGTTTTATGTTTAGATGTAGACATGTTCAACTTGATAATTATAGCCCTAGTTGCTTTGAATCAGGGTAGGACATGTGGATAATCTGCCTAGTTTTACTATTACTACTGATTAGACTTCATGCAGAACATATCCTGTCTGGAATAAGACACAACAGGTCTTAGCCCCAATAATCAACGTTTTCCTTTATTTTCTTGTTACTGGGGCAGCTTATGTGTGGACTGGCTTACACTCACCAAGACAATGTTTGTTAGAGCTCTTGTAGGTTTGGAATAGAGAGAGATTGAAAGAGTAGATTTTTATATTATCTTTTATATTATCTCCTTCGCTACCTTTAATACAACATCTCCGTGCAAGCGAGGCGTAGGAAAAAAGAACAACGAAGCCAGGGAGATGAGGAAAAGAAAGTGGGATTAGGACAATTATTAATTCACTGCTGAACATCCGGTTTCGTGTATGCTCATACTTGTCTCTATAAGATACACCTAATCGCTACAGTGCCAATTTCTTTTTTACTTAAACTTTTCTGTGTAAGGTCCACCCAAATGCCCCAGTACCAGCATCTATAACCAGTCAACTGATCTGGAGGGAGTACTTCTACTGCATGTCAGTCAACAACCCAGCCTACAACCGCATGAAGGAGAACCCCATCTGTCTGAACATAGACTGGTATGATGATGAGAATAAATTTCAGCAGTGGAAAACGGTAATGTGCCTTAAGAATGATTACAGTAGTCTTACATTGCAATAGTCTTACATTACAATAGTCTTACATTACAATAGTCTTACATTACAATAGTCTTAAATTAGCAAATCTTTTTTTTTTTAAATCTGTATACATGAGGTTGGAATTTCGGTGTGAGCACTGTTTGCTTTTCATTTTTATATAGTCTAGCGCACCGTTTTCTTTCTTTCTTTCTTTCTTTCTTTCTTTCTTTCTTTCTTTCTTTCTTTCTTTCTTTCTTTCTTTCTTTCTTTCTTTCTTTCTTTCTTTCTTTCTTTCTTTCTTTCTTTCTTTCTTTCTTTCTTTCTTTCTTTCTTTCTTTAAAATCCTTTTCTATGAGTGGAGATTATTATATGTTAATTTATGTCGCACGATGTCTCCTCATTACAATTAAGAAAAAATCAAAGCAGTTTTTCCCCCTTTGTAAAATTTAAAAAAAAATTTAAAAAAAGACACAAGCAACAGATTACACAATTTATTGACTAGTACATTTCACCGTATCTCGTCAGGTGCGTACTACAGTAACAATTGCACACATAAAGCAAAAAGTGAATCCTTTATAATTGAAGTACAAATAACAATCACACACAGCTGCCTATTTTACCAGGACAGTCGCAGTGTCAGAATCATTTCTTTTTGAGTACAAAGTTCACGGCAGAGGTAACGAATCGGGGCGGCTTCAAGAAATCATAGCGTTCTTGATTTAAGATTTCTTGAAGCCGCCGCGATTCGTGTCGGGTGATGAAAGTACAATTAAAAAACAACAACGATTAACATGAATGTGGCAAATATATGAGTAACGTTCGCTTCAAGATACAGTGGTAAAATCCAGTGCAAAACAAATGTGGGAATTGGGTAATTTGAAATATAAACGCCAAGCTAAAGTAAATATTCAGAAGCTGGCGGTTAAAAAGCTTCTATATCGACACTGCGTGACAAAGGCTACCTATCAAGCAATGAATCGCAAACTGTTCCTCCTCACGCCGCTTAATGGCAGAAGCGGAAATTGATGATGATGATGACAGGTCAAATTTATGGACCAGCAAACAAGACTGAAAAGAGCTGTCCGAAGGTTGTTGCGTATCCTTTACAGGACGTTGCAGAACCAACCCTAACAGCCCCTGGCTGTTGTGTGGTTTCTCTAGGCAAATTACGTCCAGTAGTTTGCCATTGCCACCTGGACGGTCGGCTTTCTTGATACCACTGTCGAAACCAACGAAAGGCGCATTGCCCGCAGCTGGGATCGAACCCGGCATCCCGGCATTACGAAGCGAAGTGTTCGCATCGACTTAGCCACAGAGCCGACGAAAAGAGCTGTAACAAAATCAAATTGTGCAAGTGCGCCAAATATGATAGCGAATAGCTTAGATAAATTTAATAATGTTGATTGTATGTGCAAATGGCGTATAGGCGTACTTGAATATCTAAGTCACTGCTACGGCTTTCATCTGCATTTTGAGATTCTTAAACGGGAACTGAAAGGAGAACAGGTTGCAACTGGAATAGGGTTCTTTACAAACCAGAATATAGCCAATCATGCCATTGTCACTAACTATCGTTCGGCAGGGACAGACTGGGTATCCTTGGATAGATGCCTGCATGCGGCAGTTAATGCAAGAAGGCTGGATTCATCAGGTCTGTCGTCACGCCACAGCATGCTTTCTCACACGTGGCGATTTGTGGATCGACTGGCAGAAAGGACTTGAGGTAAATCACACATTAGACTGTAATCCCTCTTTCCCTCTCTCTCTCTCTCTCTCTCTCTCTCTCTCTCTCTCTCTCTCTCTCTCTCTCTCTCTCTCTCTCTCTCTCTCTCTCTCTCTCTCTCTCTCTCTCTCTCTCTCTCTCTCTCTCGCTTTCCCCAGCCCCATAAATATTTATAAATGTGTGCATCACAAGACAACAGCTTAGCGTCACGGCATAAGAGTGTAAATTAGACAGAATAACAATTGAAATTCCAACCCTGGCTTCTGCCGGGGGCCCTCAATATAGCCGGGCCATAAATATGGTCTAGGTCATAGATGTGGCCATAACGGCTGAAATGGGTTTCTGTTACCTCTCCACGGGTGATCTTTATCCGCATGGTGGCACTTTGTGTCACGGGTGTTTATCGCTTGTGTGATGTCCTGGTTGGGTACAACTACCAACCAACCAATTGAAATCCAAAGTGACGACACCTGTGTTTGAATCGGCCATCTGTGATAACTGTGATAACTGAAGATGGAAGCATGAAACCCAGAATTGGTGCAAACACTAGAATTTAGTCACGAAAGTGACGCAAATAACCCAGACCACAAATATAGGCACAGACTGTTAGCAGCCTCGGCTAGCTAGCAGCAGTCTGAAAGTGGTCGACCTTCAGTTTTTTACCCAAAAGGACTAGGATAACTGAAGAACTAAAACTGAACCCATTGTATTCTAAACTTAAATAGGCAATTAATTTAATTTTAATTTTAATACTATTTTTTTTTTAAAAGCGTAGAAACATCAGATGCTTTACTGGTTAATGAAAATAGAGAAAACAATTCAAGACAGATATAACTTGCAGGAAGCAGCTGTAGTAGTCATACAAATGGATAAACATAAAAGAATGATGTATGTTCTCTGTGCTGCTTTAAAGGACTATGCTGTTAGCCGGTGAGGTAACTGCCAAAAAACTGCCAATTACTTCTTTAATATACCACTTTTGCGATGTAGGCAGGGGGTCTTTCAGTCTGAGGATTTAGGGCCACAGGGCTAATGCTGTCGCCACGGACTGTGCAGGTGAGGGTTTTATTTTGCCCCTGACAGAAAAAAATCCCAAGCCTTACCGAGGATTGAAACCCGGGTCTCCCGCATGAGAGTCAGCGTTCTAGCTGTTAGGCCAGCCTCTCCTCTGGAGTGACTGCAACCATTCTAACAATTGACCTGAGTATGAACGTAGTGGGCGCTGTTTTAACACAGGGAATATGTACAATAATGTTGGCGGAAATGTCGTAGAAATGTGCATTAATAATTTGTTCTTGTGGAATACACTGTCAAAGACTAATTTGTCCAGGTGTTTGACCGCTACCTGTTGGACGCTGACTGGTCAGTTTGTGCCGGAAACTGGATGTGGGTCTCAAGCTCTGCCTTCGAGAACGTTCTACAGTGTGCCAGGTGTATTTGTCCAGTTCGTTATGGACGTAGGATGGACCCGTCTGGAGAGTATGTTAGGTATAACGTAACACAAGTTGTGCACGTAGAAATGAATGCTAGCAAACTGTACGTTAACATGCTCCTCACTTCTATTGGGTGTGTCATGTATGTGTGTGTTGTGTGTGTGTGAAAAACTGTTAGCGTGCTTCTGTCGTCCTTTTTCTTCTAGTTTTTTTCCCTGCTCGTGATTTTTACAAGAGAACGCCACATACCTGTGTGGAACTTGTGGGCGTGACGCATATTCTCCACTTATCATACAGCTTGTATTCAACCCAGAATGTCAACTTGCCAGATTCAGTATCTCTCTATCATATCTAGATTGAGTATTCTTAGCATAGTTCTGAGTCCATAGCATTGTCCACAGTCTTAAATGTTATGTACATATGGCAGATGAGTTTGTTATGGCCAGTTTATAGTCTCAATGTAATTCTCTCTCTCTTTCACGTGACCATGTTTATTAGGTTTCCATATTTGTTTTCTGTAAAAGAAGTGTTACAAAAAGTTATAATAACTGCCTTGATTTAAGTTATCGTTTCCTCACAAATACACACATACTGTATCTGACTGTTCTAAATTGTTTCTAAATCATTCCTCCGTATGTGGCTATTGTGAATTGTTTCTAGTGTTTGCTAACTATTCTGCTCTCTTGTTTACAGTAAAGTTGCAGTCGCATAAGAACTACTGCTGGACTCCTTTTATTCTAGTAACCATTCCGGCTCAGCAGATGGCCTTGCTGAACTGTAGATACGTGTCGTTTTCTTTGGCTTGCAATACTGAGCCAGTATCTGTCAGTCTAACTACTTAGGACTGAAAGCTTCATTCACTGAGCAACATGGATGCTGGTTCCTCTAGCGCTATTGTCTCCGTATTGTAACCGGAGGAGTTGTTCCGCAGAAAGACTACATGTTCTCATGGCACCATTGTTCCATTCAGTATAGATTTCTACTCCTCCACCCAACAGCTTCTTTTATGGGGACATTTATGAAAAGCCGGATCAGTATTTGGGTATAGTTTTTTTTTCCTTCTTATATCTGATTGCATTTGTAAGTAAGCTGTTCTCCATTGGTCAGGGTGCCATCTCTGCGTCTATGGGATTCCCCCCCCCCCCCCTTCAGTATCATAGCTTGAAGTAAACAGAACAAACTATTTGGCATATCGACCAATCGTACATTCGGTCATTCTATTGGTTCGTCTTGCACACAGAAATTGAATAGTAGGTAGAATCAGGGCTTTTGTCTGGCGGTTCGCCACGGTCACAGTACCAGTACCGTATTTTATTTTCTAGAAAAAAAAAAAGTAAGACGTGCAATGCATGTAAAGTTTATTTATCAAAATACACAAGTACTAAGAAGTAATATAAGATCATACCTAGTATGAAGCTTCGCCAGTAGCACGGCGAAGTAGCAATTCAAGAATAGAAAAGTAACACACCAGGAGTCTAACCTGCCTACGTGGTACTAAAAAAAATCTACTGGACTGTTTGTGTCGTTATTTCTAGTTTTACATTTTATGTTGCACAATTATCAACATTTCTATTATTTCAGAATAATTGTGAATTTAATAACATATTAACATATCAATCAGTTAAGGTTCACAGGAAAAAAAACTATGCAATGAACTCTCACGTTGAGCATATTCGAAAGATGTATCTTTATCTTCCATTTACACAAGACACTGTATATTATGCTGCAGACGTTATGTGCCAGAGCTGAAAGGAATGCCGCTGCAGTATTTGTTCGAGCCTTGGAAAGCTCCCATCACTGTGCAACAGGAGGCTGGCTGTATAATTGGGCAAGATTATCCTTCTCCCATGGTGGATCATAAAATAGCTTCACAGGAATGTAAATTGCGCATGGATATGGTTAGGAAACGATCAGAAGGTAACAAAAAAAAAATTGTTTGAGTCGTAGCGTTAGTGTCTTTCCTGTACTTCCATCTTTTCATTCTCCAGTAGACTACAGGCCTTTAAAAAAAACAACCCATGTTTAGCTATTTGTAGACAGGTTTATGATTGGTAAATTTTGCAGCTAAACATTTCTAATGGATGAGGTTGCAATTATCAAGCCAATTCTCTGAGGTGATCTTTTACGACATGTATCTTGTGTGACTCAGTTACAAGTTGTTGCTTCCATTAGGTTTCTTCTTCTTCTTTTCTTCTTCTTCTTCTTCTTCTTCTTCTTCTTCTTCTTCTTCTTCTTCTTCTTCTTCTTCTTCTTCTTCTTCTTCTTCTTCTTCTTCTTCTTCTTCTTCTTCTT